CCATAAAAAATGTATCATTTTACCTAGAGTAAATATAAATAAAAACTAATTAATAAGCTACCTTCCCATTTCTCTGCTGCCACTATTCTTTCTTTTTTTAAAAGATCTATTTATTCAAAAGTCAGAGTTAAGCAGAGAGGGGGGGGGGGTCTTCCATCTGCTGGTTCACTCCCCAACTGGCCACAATGGCCGGGGCTGTGCCAGTCCGAAGCCAGGAGCCAGGAGCTTCCTCCAGGTCTCCCACGTGGGTGCAGGGGCCCAAGGACTTGGGCCATCTTCTACTGCTTTCTTAGGCCATAGCAGGGAGCTGAATAGGAAGTGGAACAGCTGGGTCTCGAACCAGCTGCCATATGGGATGCCAGTGCTTCAGTCCAGGGAATTAACCTGCTGTGCCACAGCGCTGGCCCTGCCACTATTATTTCTCAAGAGGGAAAACCTTTTCCTCTACCCTCCTACTTTAAGTGACTGGGCATTTGGAAATGAAGCTAACAGGAGAAAAGGCAATATTTTTGTCAATACTGACTTGCATAGGAGTGCAGAGGAAAGAAGTGAAACTCAAAGAAAAAGTTAAATGCTGAGCCTCCCACACCTTTTTTTAATTAAAGATTTATTTTATTTATTGAGAGGCAGAGTTGCAAAGAGAGAAAGATAGAAGGAGATCTTCCATTTGCTGGTTTACTCCTCAAATGGCCGCAATAGCCAGGGCTGGGCCAGGTAGAAGCCAAGAGCTAGGAGCTTCCCCCCAGGAAGCTTCCCACATGGGTGGCAAGGGCCCAAGCACATGGGCCATCCTCTGCTGCTTTCCCAGGTGCACTAGCAGGGAGCTGGATCAGAAGTGGAGCAGCTGGGACTTGAACCAGTGCCCATAAGAGATTGTGGGCATTGCAGATGTGGGCATTTCATCTAATCTTACACACAGAGGATTAACTCTATTCTATGTATAGAGTTCAACACTTTGCATGAGGAAGAAAAAGAGAAAAGAACAAACAAACAAAAACTAACAAAGAACATTAGAAAAAACAAGAACAAAAGCTGTTCTTCAACATCCCAGACAAGGGCTGTTCAATCATTGCATCTTGATGGTGATTTCACTTTTTTTTTTTTTTTAAAGAAACTCAATATCTTTAAAGAGGAACCCAAGAATGATACATCTTTTGCAAGCACTTTTAGACATAACTATAATTTATGGGACATAAAAATATCCTCCACTTAATACACTAAAATAAAGCAGTTCTTTGGAAACAAGTTTTATTACCAAGTCTTATAATGCAGCTCTTTCAGGACAGAGATCCTGCATGGGGAGTTAATGCACAGTGACTCCTTTTGTTTATTTAACAATTAACACGCTTGTGTATGACGTCAGTGATCACCCGAGGTTCTTGACAAGAGCTACCTAGGCCATGGAAGCCCTTGGGATCCATAAATTCTGTCAGTATTTCAACAAGACCATAGGCAAAGTAGAAGCTCTCTCCTCCCTTCAGAGGAAAGTACATCCTTCTTTGGTGGGTGCTTCTTTCCACTGGGGTCTCGCCCACAGAGGTCCTTCATGTAGAACATTTTTCACCACAGCATCTTGGCTTTCCATGCCTGAAATTCTCCCCTGGGCTTTTCAGCCAAACCAGAATGCCTTAGGGTTGATTCTGAGGTCAGAGTGCTACTTAAGATGATTGTCATTCTATGAGTCTGCTGTATGGACTGCTTTCCATGTTGGAGCATTCACTCCTTTTTTATTTCTATCCATTGTTATTACTAAGCACTTAATCCTATTTATTGTCATATCCTTATCAAAGGAAGGAAGGCTTGGGCTTCAAGAGACTAGAGTGGTAGGGCAGTGACTAGGAAATATATGGGGAAACTGGAACATAGGATGGTTTTCGGTAGCTCTGCCTGTGTGAACTCATCTTGGTGTGGACACCCCTTCCTGAGTGGTAAAAGTCACTCTTCTTTCCCCAGTACTGGAAAGGGTGGTGGCACCTCCTCAAACAGAAATCTATGCCCTGCTTTCACATGATGACAGGAGGAGGGCTGAGAACTCCGCCAACAGTCATTGATTCTCCACTTATTCAGCTCAAGAGGATCCTAATGTTGAAGTGGCTATTTGGGATGGCAATTCTCAAGTCCTTTGATATCACATAAAGCTAATTTTTTTTTCAACAAAGATTTATTTATTTATTTGACAGATGAGTTATAGAGAGCAAAAGAGAGACACAAAAAAGAGAGAGATCTTCCTCTGGTTCTTTCCCCAAATGGTTCCAATGGCTGGGACTGGGCCAGGAGAAGCCAGGAGTTTCTTCTGGGTCTCTCATGTGGTGAAGGAGCCCAAGGACTTGGGCTGTCTTCTGCTATTTTCCAAGGCATTTTAGCAGGGAACTGAATTGGAAGTGGAGTAGCCGGGACTCAAATAAACGTCCATGTTGGATGCTGGCATCACAGGTGGAGGCTTTACCTGCTATGCCACAATGCCAGCAGATAAAAAACTGCTACTAAATGTGTGACCTCCCTGTAGGTGCTAGACTCTCAGACAATCCCTACCTCTTGGCTTTTCCTGTATCACTCCCTCTGGCACTTGGCTAGATTTCTCCTTGGAGACAGAATGCAAATTATGGTAAAGCAACTTCAGGATTTGGCTATCCATGATCCTTGTCCCATTGACTCTTTGATATTCACATTCACCTCTGGGGATCTACACACTCTGATCTCCATGCTACCTGAGGGGGTGTGTGTGTGGAGCTCCTTTGAAATTGCATGTTTATCCCCAAACAGAAACAAATGTGGCATCTAGCTGCATCTAGCCCTCTTCACTCTGAATATAGGAATGACCCTCCCCAAAAAAAGGGTCACTCCTGAGCATTATCTCTGAAATGTGTATGTATTTTTGGCCAGGTTTTAGCATACTGAGATCTTCTTTGAGAAACGTATGATGATGTAGAATAAAACACAAGGACTGAAGTCAAACCCTGTGCTCTGCTCTTTAAGAGCAGCACGTGCTTCGGCAAATTACAAATCCCTTCTGCGTGTTTCTCGTCTTAAAAATATGTGTGTAGTGATATAGTGCATAATATTCACAGTGGCGGTGGTTGGAGGAAAAGAGATGATGGATGAGCACTTGGTGCTTATTCTCATATGTGGTGAACACTGCGTTTCAGGAGTAGACGTGAAATCAATATTATTTTATATGCTGAGGTTATTTTAAGCCAATATAACGTGAAGGCTCTATTATTTTATTTACAGGAACCACAATGTTTCAAGCCAATTCAAATGTAATGTCACAAAGTTTCAAAAACAGAAATGTTTTTGCAACCCAGTATGTACATATAGGTAAATAGGTGGCTTGCAAATGAGATAATCTGAAGTTTTTAATAAACTGTACTGAACACAGACTGCTAACCGTGCACAATAGTGTCTTCTTCCTTTTATAACAGTGCTTTTAGTATTCCACTGACACCAGGCCAGTGAATGTGCAATATTCTTAGTTACCATTATGAGGGACTCTGTGTATTATAGCCTCTCCACTGTCTGTGCCATGAGCTAGGGAAATGCTGGGAGCTATGGCAGCCACTATCAACAGGGAGCCATATTAATTATTTGAAATGTGCCTCATAAGAGGAATCAACAGAGTTTATTACAAGTTGAATATTACTTGAAACGGGAAGGTTACTCTAACTGTTATCATAATCTATGTATCATTAACTTTCCTTGTTTAGGAAAAGAGATTAACAACCCTGTAAATTACTATAGGGAGGGTGTGAAATAGAACTGCATATTACCTTTGTAGAAAGAATGGGTCCTCTTTTCCTGCCCAAACCTTCTTTATATATAAAGAAGCTTTTAAAATTGCCCTGAAAGGCAGGTGTTGTGGCACAGAGGGTTAAGTCCCCACTGGGGACAACCCCACCCCATATCAGAGTGCCAGTTGGAATCCCAGCTCCTCCACTCCAATCTGATTCCTGCTGATGTATCCTGAAAGGCAACAGGTAATGACCCAAGTGCCTGGTCTCCTGTCAACTACATGAGAGACCCAGATGGAGTTTCTGGTTTCTGACTTCAGCCTAGCCCAGCCTTGGCTGCTGCAGGCATGTGGGAAGTGAACCAGCAGATGAAATATATGCCTTTTCTCTCCCTCCCCCTCCCCCTCCCCGCCTTTCAAGTATATGAAAAATAAATGTTTTTTTTTTTTTTGAAAATTGAAGTGACTCTATAATTAGGCTTTCTTTCCTGAAAAATCTTAATTGCTTCCTGAACCATCGGTATACAAACAATAGCTACTTAAATTGTTAGTATTTAAGCTAACAGTTTTTTCAGTTAGTCTCTTGACCTTTAAAATCAACGTTGTAACTCCTTCAATTCTTAAGACAGAAAGTGTATTATAAATTCATATGTGAGCCAGTCATGTGCTTTGTAAGGGGAATGGAGGGGTGTATCCATCTGCCTACTTTTTGAGTTGTGGTTAGTTATTGTTTTCCCATCGAACACAGTAAGCACCTAAGAATAATTTTCTACTCAAATGATGGAAGTAAATCTTAGAGGAAAAAATAAGCAAATCAGGGTCATGAAGTGAACACAGTCAATCGTCTGTGTATCAGGGGCAGTTTGCCAGTGGTTTATTACTGATTTTAAAGAAAATAAGTGCAGACATTGAGAGCAAAGAAACTTAGTGTCCATGTAATCTAACAGCAAAAATGGATACTTGCATTTTGTATCTTTAAGTTTTTCCATTTCCTTTTTCTTGTAACTTGTTTTCTAAAAGTACCACTCCATAGTACATTGGTAATTTAACCAAAAGGGGAAAGAAAAGTGAACTCAAGTGGTTGGAGAAGCACTTATTTAATTGGCTGATGTTTGTATGGTACATGCTATTTTTTCATTTGGGCAGATCTGTCTGCAGTTGATATTAATTCAACATGGAGTGAGGTGATGTGACATCACAAAAACAAACCAGAAAACTAAAGTAAAAATCCCTCACTATGATGTATTCTTAACGTTTCTTTTTGGGTCCATAGGGCAGGCGCATCACGGGCAGGTGTCATACATTTCTCCACCAATTCACCTCGACTCTGAGCTGGAAAGACCCCCTGTTAGAGGTAAGGTTGTTTTCATTGGTTTGTTTTTTTACTTAAAGAAGGCTATGCATTCTTTGATTAATGCAGTTAATCAAATTAAAATGGCTATAAATATTATTTGACATGCATTTCCTGTTTAAAAAGCAGGAGAAAAAATAAAATGTGTACATAGTCTAGAGAAACACCAAGTCTTATTTATAAACTAAAATCTAAAGTATTTTTCTGAAAAAGTTTGGAAACCAAGTCCAGTAGTGATTCAAGGACCAGTTGAGATTACAGGATAACTATTGTGGTTTTACTTGAACTTTCTTTTTTGCACTGTCCTGTTTTTTCACATCCAAATGTCTTATTCTAAGTCATATCAACAGATTTTTTCCTTGCAAAGTGATATTATTCTTTTAAATATTAATAAGACCATTTTGTCTTAAAAATGAGTAGTTAAAATTAAAAGTGTGTCTTTTTAAATTGACACCACCTGTTTCAGTAACAGATTTTTTTAAATAATCATACAAAATAAAAATTGGAAGGTAAACATTTATAAACTCAGAATGTAAATGCCGAATTCATCATTCTGCTATTTAAAAAATGCCTAGCAATGACTTTCAAACTGTTTCATGATGTTCATAACTGATATGATAGAAATATATATTAGAATTTTATAAATGCCAAGTGTCCTGAGATTATTCTTTTTTGTGGTATTAAGTACTATAGCATGTTTCCGCAGGGTTAATAACATGGTAAAGTAATTAGGCCTGACTTTTAGAAGTGCATTTGCTGTGCAGGGTGTTTTCTCTGTAAGTTTCTTCCTGTGTTTCCTGGCTCTGCTTTAGGATCCGTTCTCTGTTAAGCCTTCTCGTTTTTTTTTTTTTTTTTTAATTTTTTAAATTTTTTTATTTTTTGACAGGCAGAGTGGACAGTGAGAGAGAGAGAGACAGAGAGAAAGGTCTTCCTTTGCCGTTGGTTCAGCCTCCAATGGCCCCCGCGGCTGGTGTGCCGCACTGATCCAATGGCAGGAGCCAGGTGCTTCTCCTGGTCTCCCATGGGGTGCAGGGCCCAAGGACTTGGGCCATCCTCCAATGCACTCCCTGGTCACAGCAGAGAGCTGGCCTGGAAGAGGGGCAACCGGGACAGAATCCGGCGCCCCGACCGGGACTAGAACCCGGTGTGCCGGCGCCGCAAGGCGGAGGATTAGCCTAGTGAGCTGCGGCGCCGGCCTTTAAGCCTTCTCAGACGGATGCCAGAGAGCAGCTCTGTGCTTACCGTGCTATCCAGATACCTGCTGTGCTTCCCTCAGTTACTGTATTTAAGATACTGTGTCTTATTTTGCAGGAGGCCTGTCTTGCTCCCTTGTTTGCATTCCCCTTAAGCAGAGGGGCTGTAAGTTAGTACTCCCCTCCTCTTGGCCATGTGTGCCAGGAACATGCTAGAAACCCATCCAGTGATTTCTGTCTGAGTGCTTGACAGTGCAGGTGACATGCAGAATTCTGAAGGATACACTCAGGCTTTTCAAGAGGAAAAAGGGGCAGAGAGCATGGGGGGGTCCCAAAAAGAAGAAGTAGAAGGAACCAAAGCCTGGGTGTATGGAAGTGAGTGTGCTGGACACAGAGTAAAATGGGGGCAGTTCTAGAGGGAAAGACTGGAGAGAGGAAATGAGGCAGGGAAGCTTCTATGTCTTGTACCAAGAAGTTTGTATTTTATTCTGGAGAAAAAAAGTTTTTCTTCCTTCCCCCCACCCCGAGTCAGTGGAGTGTGACATCATAACATGATCTGTTCTGGCTATGAGAAGGGTACCTCTGCTGTCACTGTAGATGGTGAGCTGAAAGGGAGACTGGCAGTACAGCTGTTTCAGTCGTTCAGATCCAAAGTGAAGGGGATCTGGTTAGAAGTGTGTCAGCGGCGGTGCAAGGATCTGAGAGATGTGCAGAAGAGACATGGCCTTTGGGTGAACAGATACAGGGACTGAAGCAGAGTTCTCTCTGAGGTTTCTGTAGTGGGTTACATGATTGGATGCAGCTCCAATTAGAATGTTTGTGTCCCTTTCAAAATTCCTGTTGAAACTTAATGCTCGATGCAATAATTTCAGGAGGTGGGACCTTACGAGGTACTAGGCCATTAGTGCTCCTGAGTGGATTAATGCCCCCCCCAAAGTGCAATCGAGGCCATTTTCTTCTGTTGTTCCTTTCACACGTGCAAAGGAGCCCAAGGCACCATCTTGAAAGCACAGAGCAGACCGCACCAGACACTGGATTGGCCAGTGCCTTGATCTTGGATTTCTAAGCCTCCAGAACTGTGAAGTGTAAATTTGTGTTCTTTATAAGTTACCCAGGTATATTGATATAGCAGTACAAAGGGACTGTCAGATCTGTGACATAATCCCTCCTCTGAGAAATAGCTATGAATTCTAAATGGATGCATTGTTTTAGGCATGTTAGTTCTTGATGGAAGTTTGTTTCCACCAAGAGGGAGACCTGTTTGTGCAAGTTGGTGACTTTAATAGAATTCAGTTGTTCAGCTATGACCCCAATATGATCTGAGAAAAAGTACTTTGAGGTCATATGAAGGGTAATGTGGCAGTCTGCATTCATCTACTTCAAAGCTCAGTAAATTAAAACAAGAAACATTTATTATAGTTCCAAGATCTGATTGAGTTCAATGTGTGTTGACTTAACTGAGGATGGTTGTTTAGTAGTTAGCAAGTTGGTCAGTTTTTTAGAAGGAGAAGGCTCACTCACATTTTTTCTCAGTTGCTTGTCATCAGGAATGATGGCCACATGTTGCTGTATCATTCAGTGGGTCAGTCCAGGCTCATTCCTGTGGCAAAAGGGTCTCCAACAACCAGAGAATCAGTCTTGAATTTCAGTGGCATATCAAGCCTCTGCTTGTATTGTAGTGGCTAATGTCTCATTACCCAAAGCAAATCAGACAGTCTACTCCAAACTTCAGAGAGCAGAAATAGATTCTATCTCCTGACAGAGGAGCCGCAGTCCTAAATACAGACCATGGATGTAAAAAGTGAAGAATTTGGGCCTTTTGTAAACTACCATAAGAAAGCATATAAAAAGTGAACTAAATTCAGGATAAGACAAATAAAAAAGGTGACTCTGACTGGTAACATCAAGGGCTTTTGAAGTCAGTAAACTTGAAGTTGGAACTTCCAGAACTCTCCTTGGTGTCTTCAACAGCCACACAGAAGATCAGAAATATGAACTTCACAGTGTCTTTGTGAGAATTATGGATTTTACAGAACAGAGATTGCCCTTGGGTAGTCCTAGGTAAAATGTGGTTTTACCATGTACTTTTTGGTTGATGGCTATGGTGTATGGGTGGAGAACAGGCTTTGGAACCAGGCAGGGCTGTGTGACCTGTGTCTGTTTTTGTCTGCCATCTGTAGGCCAAGGAAGATAACGCCACCTTTGCATTCACAGAAGACTAAGTGTATGTGCTAAGTTGTTGGCAGGTATCTTACATATATCATGCTCTAAAGAGTTGGGAGATCATTGGCCTTGTTAAAAACGTGGCTGTAAAATGGCATCACCTTCCTGGTGGTGGCATTGAACTGGTAAAGAATGAATGATCTTGATCCAAGAGCCCTTTGAACTGCATCTCTACCTCAAACAGTGCTCTAACTGATGGTCTTGAGAGCTTCTAGTTCTCTGTGGATTAATGCAGTCGGAATTACAATCATACCTCATGTAACATGGCCTTGAAACTAAAAAAATTAATTAGATAAAAATGGAGTTTGTACAAATTCCCAAAATAGCATTGAAAAAAAATCTTGTGCCTTTTTCTTAACAGTATCGAATATATCATTTAAAGACAAATATTAGATAGGAGATAGAGTTAGCTTAAAAATAAGATTAATTTATAACCATAAGGTTCTTCCTCTCAACTATCAACCCCTATCTTCACTTACTGATTTTAAATATCTTGTACCTTATTATTGATATTTATATGCAGTCCAGTTATACACCAAATTCCTCATATCTCTCTGTCTCTGTCAAGAGTGGGGGTGAGCAAAGGATAAAGAGAAATATTTCTTTTGTTTGTTGTAGGTTCGTATTTGAATTTATATCATATAACAAATTAAATTCTTCAAATAATTGTAATTGTTTCTCCTCTTTATGAGATTATAGAATACCTTTTTTGAACAACCTGTACACTAACACTAGCAAACTACCTTGGCTGTCCTTTTTCTGCTATGATTTTGTATATGCTGAATCTGTGAGAGAGGCCTTGGGACCTTCCTCCACTGACAGTAATTCTCTGTATTCTTTTGCTTTCCTTTCCTATACCAACTTCATCAGTCCATGTGTATGTTCATTTGGCAAGAACTTTCGCTTTTTACATTCATTTTTCAGTATTGTATGGACTTGACTAAATTCATACTTAATTTCCTGTTATTTATAAGTCTTGCAGTATGAAACAAAAACATGTAAGATACATTCATGTAGCTATTGAGAGTAGCACAGGGAATTTTCCTCTGGAAAATAAGAACTGCTAAAACACAGTGACACAAAAGCCTGCTTCAGGTGCTTTGCCATTTTATTCTGATCTCATCTGAAATATATTTGATTATTTGGTATTTTCTTTGTTTCATAGTTATTTTAGTATGAATGTTTGAGATAATTAAGTACTGGTTGGTAGCTTTATGAATTGTGGTTTAAACCTGTAATTAAAAAATGCTGATGTTGGTACCCCCCCACCCCAAAAAAAAGACCTGAAGCAATCGAGACCCTGGAAAAACAAAAAGACAAATATCACATTTTCTTTTATTTGCGGTCATGAATATATAGAGAATATGAAAACTATCTGGGTTTCATCATTTGGTTTATAGCTCTAAGGAATGCTTCACTGAATCTTACCTTATAAAGGACGATGTACCCTTTATTACACAAGTTAAAAAAATGAGGCAGGAATAGTGAGGACTCTTGGGTCACTAGTAATGCTTTGTTATTCATTTGAGTGTTGTATTGAGTGCAGATGATGAGTGCAGATGATGAAAAAGAAAAACCTCCTTTATC